TTCAACCGATAAAAAGCGATAAAAGTACGTCGAATCCATTTTCTAGAATTCAGTTTTAACCGGAAAAGGTCACTTTGACCTTCCAATCGTATCGCAGAGCCGTGGCGAAAAAAGTGGAACGACAGTATCTATCGAAACGTGTCCGAATGTATGGGGTACACGGGTGCCATCACGACGTTCTGGTTTAATGTGTGCATCATCGATCGGAACGTGAAGTCCGAAATGCCCCATAACTTCGTCATGTACGAGCGTGTTTTCAAACTCGTTGTAAGGAACACTGACTTGATGCAAGCTTTGCGTGTTGTTTGGAATACATTTTAGCGCTCAAAAAACAGGGACAAAGAGGCGAGAAACAGACAGCACAGTGCGCTACTAACAACTAACAACACGCAGTATAGGCGGTTGTTGGCAGCTGGCTTCCCGAAGAATGTAGTGGTCTCAGTTGCAGAGATCGTATTAAAAAGATTGCGTAGTGAAGATCGCCCTTGCCCAATGGCTCTCAGAGATAAACAGAAGGTCGCGGTGATACCGTACATTCACAAAACGGCGCATGGCTTGAAAAAGGTGGCCAATAGATCAAACGTGAACGTAGTGTTTTCCGCACCAAACAAACTTAGTAGATTATGTAGGATGACAGATCCTTTTCGTAAGGCCCCTTCTGGCTGCGCGGTAAAACACAGGGATCCCTTCGTTGAATGTGCGGAGGGAGTAGTATATCAGATCCCCTTATCATGCGGAAACAAGTATATAGGTCAGACAGGTAGGTGTGTTAATGATAGGCTGAGGGAGCACAAACTTAAAGTAGGAAATTATCGGGACGGTCATCTGTCTGATCATTGTGAAAAGTGCAAGTGTATGCCGTTGTTTTCCGAGAGCAAGATTCTGGCACGGCACAAGGGAAAAAACTGTGAGGGAGATAATCGAGGCAGATGAGATTAGGAAGGGTGGTGCAGCATGTGTCAGCGTGGCCTCAATTGATTTACTGGACAAGGAGCGTGCGTTCCTCAATGACGCGGCCTGGCACCGGGTTGGCTAGTGGTGGAGCAAAATCAGAAACTTGGATGGTATAAAAGTGTTGTTTCACGTAATAAAATCAGTTGTTAGTAGCGCACTGTGCTGTCTGTTTCTCGCCTCTTTGTCCCTGTTTTTTGAGCGCTAAAATGTATTCCAAATTCCAAAACCAACTAGCCCAACAATCGACTCTATTGCGTGTTGTGTTGAGCTTCAAAAAGTCGCACCGTGTCTCTTTTAGTGGTCACAATTGGTTGATTGGCCGATTTTGGCTCAGGCAGCGCTTCATATCCTCAGCCTGCCAGTGTCCAGTATTAGTGTTGAGAGGGCATTCTCAAAGCTCAGGGCCATATTAACAGGAAAGAAAGAGTGCGGATCAACGAGGAGAACCTGGGAACGTACTTGTGTGTGTAAATATAATAAGATAACGTAATCCTGATGTGCAGAAGGTGAAGTTCCGTGTTTTTTGGGCATAGGCTTCATATCTGACTTGTTTGTGCTTCTCAAGTTTTTCTTGTTTCTTTTACAGTTGCACACATTTTCCAAATAAAGTGTCCATTTCTTTTTCAATGTATCTGTTACGCTATACTTTCAGTAATCACAAATATCAGAGCAACAGGGATCGTCTGATCCGGTGTCCGTTGGTGTTTCTTTGATATCCACCGAAAATAGCCGATAAACTTTTGTGGGCATAAATATACGCCGAAAGAAACCGAAAATTTAATTTTAAAATAAACACCGAAAAAAGTACGCCGAATTTAAAAAAAATAGAAACCGAAAACGCAGAACCCTACATATAACGGATGCCGTCGTAGCACTGTCGATGCAAAGAGCTGGTGCCGGGAGACGCGCTTTAATTCACAAGCTCAGAAAAAAAAAAAAAAACGTTCGGAACGAAATGGAACGAAACTGGGTCCGGACATTTAATCGAACGCCGTTTCATCGAACGCCGTTTCATCGAAGCCGTTTCATCGAACACCGTTTCATCGGACGCCGTTTCATCGAACGCCGTTTCATCGAGCGCCGTTTCATCGAAGCTGTTTCATCGAACGCCTTTTCATTGAACGCTGTTACAGCCTGCAATATTTTTGCAATTTATTTTGATTTTTATACACGTCATCTAACTCTCCCTCTTTTTAAATCACAGTATGCAGTGACGAGATAAGTTCCATTGTGAACATGTCCTGCTTCGAGAAGAAAGCCTCCTTGAAACAATGACCCCTCTCCATGTCACATAAAACAATTAAAAATGAAAAAAAAAAAAAAAAAAAAAACCAGAAAGCACGATGTGCTTTCTGGGAAGCAGGTAGGTTTTATTGTTTGACAGCGTGTACCTGTAACCTTGGGTTATGTGAGGATACGAAAGGGTTCTGTCTTCTTGGGTGACAGAGTACACCCTTCACTATTGTCTGGTGCGGGTCGGCCTTCCTAAGAAAGCGTCCTGAAGATGATTCATAGGCAAAAGGGTCGGTAATAAAGTTGACAGTGAAGGGGAGGTGGTTCCAGTCCAGGTGTAGCCCGAAACCATGTTGGCTGACACTTGGTGCAGCTTTTGACTCTGCAGAGTTTGAAAACTAAAAAAAAAAAAAGCAGAAACGTTTAATCTGAGCATAAAGCTGATAATCAGAGTATCATTATATTTTATTTCGTGTGCTCTCCTGGCAGAGGATCGTTTTATTATAAGCGTGCTGCCCTGGCAGTTAAACGCTTTTCGTGAATAAACCTTCAACTAAGCGTAAGTGTGCAACTGAGCTCGTGTGAATGGCACATTACCGAAACCCCCGGACAGCCGGTAAAAAAAAACGACACAGACATTCAAAAGTGTTTTAAGTGTCGGTCCTTTACCTCCAGTGTCATGTTTTCTGACAGGTACACGGGTAAAACTTTTCAGTAAGTCACATACCCATTTGCTTTTATACCAATGGTTTTTATTTCTAGTAATTTGGCTCCACCCTAAAGACACTTTCACAAGTGACTACCTTAGTCTTAACAAATGTAAGGTAAAACATCTATAAAGCACTGTTATGCCCCAAAACTCGATACAAAGAAATTCATTGAAACGGCCCTTAGCGATTCGATGAAACGGCGTTCGATGAAATGTCCATTCATTCGATGACACGGCGTTCGATGAAACGGCGTTCAATGAAATGTCCGCTACCCGTACAAAACAGGTGTCAATTTTGTTCCGAACGGTTTTATTCACGCACTCCACGGTGCGTGAACACGAAGCCGATTTCCAACGACTTCGCCGACTTTCGCGTCTCGTTATGGATTAACTGTGGATTAACACAAGACTTCTCTGTTTTTTGGAAGCAACGTTTGCGCTAAAGTTGGTTCAAAAAGAGCATCGTTCAAACAAAAAGTTTAGCACTGTGTGTGTTGGGTTGTCCTTAGTCTTTTCCCCCGTCTCGGGGGTTTGTCTAAAAAGAATCATTCAAATATGGTCCTCGTTGCCCGTGGAAGCGTTGACGCTGGAGGCAGTACGAACGCTATCCGCCTAAAGCCCCTCGATGAGTTTGCGTTTATTTTGTAAGCAGCGTCAAATGCATCAGTGCACGAGGTCAGTGTCTCGAGCGGCCCGTTGAAGCAAATGGCGGCGCAGCACGGAAATGAGTGGCCCTTGGAAGCGAATGGCTGCGGAGAACTCGCTCGTGACACGTGTCAATTGCACGTTTCCACACGTGAATTTTATCGAGGGCCCGTACCTGCACGCAGGTGTCCAGTCTTTTTTCTTCGACCAAGTTTCCCAGCTTTTACTACAGTCTCGGGTAGTCTAAATCATAATCAACATCCACCAGCTCGCCTGCGCACTCACTGTTTTCTTCATTAGCAAAGAAAATTTTCCGACACCGCTCTTCCCTTGAGCTTGTCAACTGATAGATCTGAGAAGGTTGGCTTTGGCAGCTTTGGAGCACTGGTTTTGGTTGCGGCTGTTTCCATACAGCTGTGGTCAGTTCCGGTTGAGGCTACGGAGGTTGAATGTGGTGCCCATGAGATTCTCTGCAATGCCGATGCCAACACAATCGCGATCTTAAAACTGGGAATCTATTCATTTTAGCACAAGCTCTGAACTACCATCGCGTGTTCACTAAGGCTTCGATCCCACTTTGGATGGTCCACAAAAATTGGTTTTTCAATTTATCGCGCTGGGATTTACTACAGAGGTGCCCGAAGGTGGTGCACTCATTGAGAGTATGAACACGTGAAACCTCCGGAGTCAAATTAAGAATGAAAATAAAAACTGATTTTGTGTATAAAAAAAATATTGCCAAACCTTTTTTTTTTGCAAAATCATAAAAAAAATTGCTGTGGGCTATTCTAGCATTTATGACGACTGAAAAATCGGTGAAATGGAAAGAAAATACAATTTGCTTATATATTCTTCACTTTATTTGGTCCAAATAAGTGCCACAGCGACACAAAATATTACTTAAGTGTACATGCAAAGTATAGAAAAAATAGTTTGATTTTTTTATGATTTACTCAGGTGAGCCAATCTTTCTACGATTTTAGTGAAAGCTTCCACCACTTTCGGGCACCTCTGTAGTAAATCCTAGCGCGATACGTTAAAACCCCAATTTATGCGGACCGTCCAATGTGGGATCGAATAGTTAGTGTACACACTGTACACCAAATTCAGTTGCCAAGAAATTAAATAAACTAGCAACTTTGCTAGTGGTTGCTAGGATCAGTAATGGCTAACTTAACAAAAAATACTTAGTTCCTTTTTAATACTGTTATGCTGAAATTATTTTTCACATAGGTAATTGCAATTTTAATCACCCTCTTTCTGCTTAACACAAACAAGTCAAATATGAGGAATTGTTTGTGTTGCTTCATTGAATCATTGCAGATCAGCTATAGTTCAGCTGCTGCACCATTCAGAAACGTAAGGAAGTACTAACAAACAAACCAAATAGGTTAAATATATATTCTTGCATTGAAACTTTTTTTTTAGATTCCCATTATCGGCAACATGAGCAGAAATGTGCATGTGAGTAACCCAAGGATGTCTTCTTTAATTACAAGGGACTGCTACTACATCGATGGGACACCAAACAGTGTTCAGTTTCAACAGAGTGAATAGTACATACAAGAAACCTTCACAGCAGCTGTCTCCCTGGAACAATCACAACAAATCGTGTCGGTGAGTAGAAACAACAGTTGATGTGCAGGACTGCACATGCGACTTCTGTACACAGTAGAGTGAGCGCACACACACGGGGCAACTGCGCACACATTGCGGAATGACATGATGGCCGTAAAGAGTAGACGTTGACAATGCCGATGAGGCAGACACAGTTTGTAGTTTCTATCCCTCTTGACGATGCTAGAAAAGAATGTTTTCCCAAGAGTTCTGTCACAAGACACGCTCACTGCACAACCACGGGATGCGTAAGATCACGAAGGCGTTCCACATGGGGAACGTCAGAGAGACTCGAGACGTGGAAAACAAACACCACCAAACAGTTTCGACATCACGCAAGTGGCAAACATTCCAGAGAAAGCAAGCATAGTGATTTACATGACTCATTGTCGACCTTTCGTCCTTAGAACTAAAACACCAAATCAAATATATCTTCATTTTGCCATCATCAAGAATCACTCGAGGCATGCTTGCCTGTCTTGTGATGAGGTACAACCGACTCATTCGACGTTTCTTTCTCAAATAATTCTTACCACCTGACTCCACCTGACTCATGCTGACTTCAGCCAGACAGATTGCTTGCGAGACCTTCCTACATTTAATCAGACATCACGCAGGCACACCCAAGAGCCTCAAAACTACGAAAAAATGGTGGACAGATCGGTCTCGTACAATACAGAAAGAATCTTTCATTTACAAAGGTTAGTGCAAACAATAGGCTTCACAAAGTGTCGCATAAGAAACGGCTACCAAAAGGTTTCCTTAGAAGACAAGAAAGAAGTGGCAGCTGCTTTTGAAGTGATGTGGTACACAACCGTTCCGGAACAGACTTGACCCAAAGTGCTGTCATGAACTGTGTGGTTAGTAGTACTTTTATCAGGAATGGTTGGTGATTGTTGCCATTTTCACAAACAATTAACTAGAACACGAAGCAGATTGAAAACCTCCACCTGGGCTCCCCACACGTGTGAAGTTGCCACATGGCAAAGACATTCAAACAAAGCTATGCCGAGGTTGATAAAATTATATCCAGACTACATTGAGCAGTTCATTACCAAATGAACTTACTGAATGGATTGCAGGTACAAAATACTTGATAGTGTGGCCTCCTGAGTATATATTAGACTTTTGTTTTCTGGGAATATATGTCATATGCCAATAGGCTTCAGCTAGTACAAACCCTGAAATATCAGACACTGATGTTGGCAGTAGAGATAATTTTCTTGTGAAACAACCACCTCTGCCTATTTATTATGCGCAGCAGTGTAAAGCTCCTGATATAGTATAATCATTCATAAAAAAGCATCAGCATGTAAGAAAGTTGGGATCAAAAAAGACCAAGGACCATGAAACAGTATTAAACTAACAACACTGACCTGTGAGGCAGAAACATAACCAAAAAGTCACACAAACATTAGCACAAAAAATGTGTTCACTTGTAACTAGGTACAATAATTACCACACTATCTTTTGGCAGCTAATAAAGTTTGCTTTCACGAAAGCATGCTTACCACCAATGGCACATATGATGGAGCATCACTGAAATCATGGCAAATCACTTGTATCGTAACACAATGGTACATATAAAAAATGCATTTTGTCCATGCAAAATTCAATTTGTTCAAATCCCGTATCAACAACCTCATTGAGTATTCACAGCGCAAAAAAATAACAGAAAGGAAAGATTCGACACCAGTATGTCACACTATTGCTAATGAATCATTTCAATGAAAAGCAATGACTGTTCTGAGCCTGTAACATCACACTAAACTGACTTATCATAATACTGACCACACAGTGGAACCCATATACATATAATAAACTCTGGTATATTCTACTAAATATGTCATTGCATGAAGTGAAATTTAAAATACAATTTAGACCCCAGGTACAAGCTTCTTCAAAATGAATTGTAGGAATTTGCTACCTGTTAGTTGAAAATTGCAGGGCATGACAAGTGCTGAGCTCTTGAACATAACAAGAATGAAAGACACAAATACAGTCTGAACTAAATAAATAGATGAAAATATCTTGACTTAATAAATAAGCTGCTAAACAGGACAGCCTTACAAACAAATTGCCACGATTGATAAAAGTAATGCATTGACCAGAGGATGCATTTAGCCTCCGGGATTGCTTTAAAGACATGTTCAAACATCTCGCATTCTGAAGTGCATTCAGACTTTCACTAGCATGGTGATAGAATGGCTGAAAGTGCAGTAACTAGTTAGAGTGCATGAAGGATCCTTAAAAAAAAACAATTGGCTTTGAACAAAGAGTAAGATGCTTCATCGCTTTGGTACTAACTAGCTACCATGAAACAGCACACAAAAAAAAAAATTTATATAAATATAACAAGCAGGAAAGAGCCAAATTTGGGAGTTGACATGTCAAATCAACAACAGGCCTCTGTCAAATTGTGCACACCCCAACTGGGATAAAAAAGAATATAGCGTTAGAGTTTAAAATTAAGGAAAAGAAAAACATTATTAAGAATCTCAAAATAAATATTTCCAGATACACTAATGCGCCACTTCCTTAAAGTGTGAGTTTCGTCTAGACATTCCAGGACAAAACACTCGCATTCTTGTGTTTTGCATAAATTTCCAGATATGAGGAATGCCCGAATGCCATCATTGCACGACAACGTGTTTCTGCGTCATCCTACTCAATAAAAGCTGAGCTCCAGAATTGTGACCTAACACATGAACACAATATATCAACCCAAGCAATGAAAGAGTTCTAACGTATGTCAAAGTGCAAAACAGACTACTCAGCCTTTAGGATTTTGTAGCCTAAACTGAACTGCATTATTGGCAGCCAGAAAAAAAATTCTACTTCAAAGCCCCTGCTCACGCAAAACCTGACATGCACAAAAGAAAATCGGAAAGATAGCGTTAGGGCACTGAAAATGGCTACTGTTGGTGCCAAAATCCCCAGATAATCCTTATAAAAAGATGACGGTAGGCCGTAAACAACCTAAACAAACTTGGCCACGAAAACAATTGTAAACATCATCTCTCTGCCTGAGAGAATATGGCAAGTTACTAGCTAAGCTCAGAACAATCCAGCCCAATGGTGAAACAATAATAAACAATCCAAAGCACCTCTTGCATGAGTAGATAAGCTCGACAGCAAACAAACATTTGTTTTCTGGTCTCACACAAGGATCAGATCTGGTATATGCAATCGGTCCAACACAAACATCTTAACAGAAAAACTGAGGTTCGCACCAAAGTGGATGCAAACAAAAAGATGTCTTCAATAAATAACAAGGAAAGCACCTAAAATCGGGTGTCAATGCTTCTCTGGTATAACCTATACTCCCTGTACATATTGCATCACGTATCCGTCGTAATACGGAATATATGCTCTGCCGCGGGATGGGTGTAAAGTCCACACAGAATTGCATGCTTGTAACCAGCACCCAGCAGGTGCCACTCGGTAAAAAATAGAGAATTAAATGTTTCCTAGAAAATGGAACCTAAGGAGGTAGTAGCTAAGCACCCAAAAGAAAACACGTCACTTCTCATCGGGTACAAGTTAAGCCCAAGTTTAAAACAACAGACTAATCAATAATTAGTACATTTTACCCCCGCCAAAGTGCCCAATACCTGCAGAAGAGCAAATAATGAAACGAGGTGTGCACTAAACTTGAAACCATTTCATCACTCCCGATCTTCCATGCAACCATTATATCAGCAGCCTATATTACTAGCAGTACGTAAAAAATTTAATGCTGCTTTTGCGTGAAAAGTTTCCATTAGAGTGTCATCTGAATTTAAATCAAAAAGGTCCGACGTTTGAATGAAGTGGCGAGTTGCACACTTTGTGCTTCCATTTTAGAGTCGCGTAACCTCGACCAAGCCGATATCTACTGCGCCTCATCAGTACCTATTTTGCTTCATCTTAAAGGACAATGCAAAGGAAAAAAAAAAATGTTTTTTTTAAACAGGCTAGATGGAAAAAGAATATTATGGAACAAATTTACAATGAAGAAAAAAAAATTAGAGCTATATTTACGGCGCAAAACGACTTTGTAGTTGGCACCTGCAGGAGCCGTGCTGGTCACGTGGTAGGCCCGCGCGCCGCCGCGCTGCGTCGCTGCTGCCGCACGCTGAGCGTTGTGCGCCACCGCTTCGACGCGTTTCTCCACGCCGCTGTCATTGCACAAGTTCGTCTGCTTCGAGGCGCCTCCGCCGTCATCTGATCGGCGCACAAGTCTATCACGTCTACTTGCGCTTTTTCAGGAGTTTCCTTTGGGCTCTAAAAGTTACTTATTAATCTTAGTGTTTTGTTATACTTCAAACAAAGATGAATAAGCTACTTTTAGATGCCATAGGAAGCTTCGGAAAGAGCGCAAGCACCATGTAATAAATAAGGGCCAGTCACATGATAAATAACGGCCACTTTTCCGCAGTGCCCGCGGGCACCAACTACAAATTCGTATGGCGCCGTAAATATAGCCCTAAATATTTTTTTTCTTTGTTGTAAAATTGATTTATGACGTCCTTTTTTCATCTAAGCTGTTTAAAAAAAATGTTTTTTTTCCTTTGCATGTGTCCTTCAAGCAGAACTGCAGCGAATGCTAAAAGCCATCTAAGCAAATCCAATGCCTGCAAGGGATTGGATTTGGGTGCAGCGACGTATGGGGCACGTGGTCACGTGATGCGTTCATGGCGGTGGATTGGCTGAGGCGAATTGTAGCATCCGTCGCGGTCCGTCGTAGGGTGAGATGGAGCGTACATATGGTAATCTGATAATGCTTTCCGACAGGAACAAATTTCACCGATTATTACAAAACCAGATGTAAAAATAGTGACCCAAAACATGAGGCGTTAGCGGAGAAAACAAGAAACTCGGTGTCGGCACTTGGAAAAAGCGGGGCTCAGACAAAGTACTTGAGTCCGGTGACGACCATGAACTTCTCTATGAACAGTTCAGAGTCGAGCACGGCAATGTGGGCGGCGCGGCCGATGAGGGAATTGGCAGAGCTTGGCAGGGCGTGGTGGACGTCGTAGCGCACGAGGCTAATGTCCGTCTTGCTGGCCAGCGGCCGCAGAAGATGATGCACCATCTCGCGGTACGCCGCACCTGTTGCCCACCCCCCAAACCAAAAGAATAAATAATCGAGGCTTGGGGCCTGATGACAATGCAAGATACAGAGTAGACCAGATATAGCATATGATGCGGGAGTCGCGAAAATCCGCACTCTAAGCGGTACAGCGTTATAACCAAAACATCAATTTTTCAGGCCAAAATATATGCCATGAGACAACTTACCTTTGTAAAAGAATTTATTTTATGTTAGATGAAAAATAAAGCTTACTTTGAGGAAAGTCTTTATTTTACCAGACTAGTACGCTTCTCTCAAGTGTGTCACACATTTTGAAAGAAATGAGCGACTTCTGCCTGGCGCAGCCTTTAGACGGCGTCGCGGGTTGCGGACGGACGTTGCGAGCGTTCAAGATTGCTAGCCCTAATCACTTTTCTCCGATGATGAAAACGCATAAAAATTTGCATCCTTTATATGGTACGCGCCAGTAATACCTTCAACTTAAGCGCAGGCATGAAATGCTCCAAATAAGAAATCCGGGCGATGTTCGAAAACACAAATGTTTAAAAAGCACCACTGTAGTCGAAGTAAACAAACATGACGACACGGGCGTTTCTGCCGTCTTCAGAGTGCCGCCACGACATCGCTGCACGAGTAGGTGGATCTTCCCTTCTCGTATGTGCTGGGTTATCGTAGCGACACACGACGAAAATTCACAGTCAAGGATAGCGCTTCTACGCAGAACGATGAGCTTCCACCACGCCGTCTACGTCGACGATCACAACTGACGCCATGTTTGCGGATAGAAGAAGCCGGTCCGCCACTGGCATGCAACGCGCGCAAACACTTCTCCTCAACCTGCGATTGGTCTGTCGTTGTGGTTGTTTCCAACGCAGCGGAGGAACGCACGCACGTGAACACGTGCGTGCGTCCCTCCGTTGCTATGGCAACTGAAGCCTCTCTCTTCGCTTCTCCCCGCTTCTTCGAGCAACCTCCTTGCCCTGCAAGTACCGCTTGCGGCTAGCCAGGCCAGCGCCGGTATCTAGTGTCGCACAGGGAAGCGTGCTCGCTGCGCCGGTCGGTTGGCGCAGTTGGCGCGCTGTTCCAGAAACCGCACTATAACTGGTCTTTCCCTTCGCGCGCCTGGATTTTAAGCGGTATGTGATTACATGGAGTTCTATGGGAGGCGAACCGGTGGTTTAAAAAAGCCGCATTATACCCGGTCCTGCACTATAAGCGGTTACGTTGTAAATGGTCTATACTGTATATGTTACCGAGTGTTTCGGCAAAGGATTTAAGGAATCCCTAAAAATAAGGTGGTTGAGAAAAAAATGAAAGCCGTTTACAACTCCCTGTAACGCCGAATTAGAGCGCAGATCTTGAGGAGGAGGAGGGGAAGGTACGGAGAAGAGGCTATGCCCCTCATCCTCTCCTGCTCGCCTCCCACTTAGGGGAAATTTTAACGCTTAATTTAGTGGGAAAATATTTTTGCTAAACTTAGCGGGAAAATTTTTCCGCTAAATTTAGAGGGGAAATTTACCCATAATGCACCCCGCAATTACGGCGATGGCGATGCCGCTCAAGCCAAAAACGGGCGCCTAAGAGCTGCACTCTGAAAAGAATCTTTCTGTGAACAAATTACCAGCCATGGCAAATGCCAAGAATTACAAAAAAAAAAAGAGATATATACTAATAAGCTAAAATAAAGGTTTGCAACCATTGATGTTTTGTGGACCCCTTGGGGATTGGGGGAGATAATGGAGCACCCCGTTCGTGGTGAGGGAAAGGGAAAGGTATAAGTTAATTATGATAATGATTTAATAAATAAATATACCGCAGAATACCGCGCATCCAGCCATTCCACATTAAGCGCCCATTTCCCAATTTGTAAGATCTGAGAAAATACGCACAGTACATTTATATGTAAAATTGATGACCGGACAAGCGCCCACCCCCATTTTTTGCGATTGTCTGAAGGTTGAGTGGGCGCATGACTGGTATTTTACGGTAACTAAGGACTAGCGTGGAGTAGACTACTCTTATTGACATATACACGAGAAAACTCAACTGAAAATTGGAATGTTTCTTCTCAGTCTGAAAAAAGAAAACTTTTATTGCCGGACTTGACTGTTGAGGATGGGCTTCGCGAACCACTAAAATGCTTTCGCAGACTCTTTCGGGTCCACGGACCCCCATTCGAGAACCTCTGCGCTAAAGATTTAACTAAAATTGACTAATAACTAGGGCTGAGCGTCTATTAAAACTTTTAATCCGATTAATCTACCCCTTTTATTCGACTAATCAATCGATTAATCTGTCTCATTCATTTCCATGCATAATACTTTTTAAAGTCAAAATACCATTCTTTTTTTATTTGCCTCTGCTGACTATGTGAGAAAAGGCGCAATATACAATTTCGATTATGAATCAACTTCGATACATAGTTGAGAACCGTTAAAAAGCACTCCCACTCAAGGATTATTACTTCAGCTGCATGATGCAAAGAGGTTTGTTGATGTTCTCCAGCAAGAGCAGCCTCCCAAAGGGGTCATGAAATGATATCAGGTTGGAATGTTTTTGACTTTGCAGAGGCGTACTGGACTTGTCTGGCCCTAGTATACTTGTACAGACTGCCACTGATTAAGAAGCTTCTTAGTTACAGTGAAATTGCGAAGGTAAAAGGAGACTATTTCTTTCAGTCTTGCCTTCGCAAAACTTGATGACATAATTGTGGGATCGAAACCACCCGCCTGACGACAATCGAGCGCGGCTCATAGATTGGACACGAGAACTGCCCGAGAACTCGACTTCAGCTCGTGATAATCAATGTCTCGGCACAGACTCTGGCAGTGGCTCGTGTCCAACCCCTGCGGTGATGAGAATAGTCTCAGCTGCGCTGAACGGACACTCGCACAGCGTTGAAGTGGCCGGGACACGTGTAACCTTCTGTACTTGTCTCGATTCACAAATCTCGCCCTAAGAGTTTACTTTTAAAATTTCACATAAAGTTTGCCCTTCACTATGGTGTACTCGTCCATGTCCGCATGGGGAAAACATTCATTTTTACTTTCTTTTGGTTTCATAAATTTTTATTCATTAACTGGTTAAAAAAGATTATTCGCGATTAAAGCATTCATTGATTAATCAGTAGGTTAATCGATCCATTGCCCACCCCTACTAATAACCTTCTTAATTAGTCAAAATAAACATAGGGTTAAAATGAGAAACTTGGTAAGCATCATAAGAAACCACTAAATAAACTCCTTTTAGAACTACAGTTGAATCTCATTTTTATAAAACCCAATTTTACGAATTTTCCAATTTAACAAACAAATTCGGATTCCCCACACAACCTATGAGCGAGGTCTCCCTCCATGATTTTACGAAGTTCCCGATATAACGAAATAATTAGCGGGTCCCGGTGACTTCATTAAATCGAGGTTCAACGGCATATAAGAAAGACACTGAATTTGGACACGTTTCTAACTTTCGGTTTCTTATTGGAGTGCATTTTCGCGCCAGAGGTACCACTCCCCAATGGCTGAGGCGCGAAGCCACCACCTCACCTCCCTTGTAAAATGGAGGGATGTATAGAAAAAAAGGTGTTGCGCATCTTGGCCACTGGGGAGCAGGACCACTGGCACTAAGACGCGCTCCGACAGGAAACCGAAACTGGAAAAGCGTACGAACTGGGCGTTTCTTCGAAACGCCATAAAATGCTGACCCTGCCTTACACCTTTATTAAATCAGCTGATTTAGCAGTTTACGAAAATGCTTAACAAGATTTTTTTATTGGAATCATACTTGTATTCCCACTAGCTAAAAAGCTAATTAGTAAATTTTAGTCAATCACTGATCTAACTAGTATGGGTTTTTTTCAATTCCCGAGGTCTGCCGTGGCTGCTAGCTTGTTCCCGAAAAAAGTTTTTTTTTTTCTTTTTCTTGACCATCCATTTTTTTTTAGATATTTGAAATGCCTTCGCTGAAACACCCTGTATACAGGTGTGGCCACACAGCATGGTGAACACTGTGATGCGATCGCCCACATAAAGCCCTCTTGGTGCGCGCCCCAATAGCCTATTTCAACGGCATCTCTGCCGGCCGGATGGCGCAGCTAAAAAAAAAAAAGTGCTTTATTGCAATGGCACTTGTGCGCGTGCGCTTTCCGCTCGGTGCACGTGCTCTGACCTTGACGAACACTGGCTTGAAAACCGCGCCAGAGATCTTTCCGCTTCAATGTGTTCATAAAACTATCCTTGCAGTTCCTGGGGCGCAAAGTTAGGTTAAATAATGAAGCTGTGTCTAAGCGACACGTGTAGCGCAACTCCCAAGTTCCACATAATGCAGAGCTCTAAAAAAAAAAAAAAAACTTAAAAAAAAAAAAAAAAAAAAAAAAATGACCACATTTTTACGTGGTGAATGATGTTGATTGGGGCAAAGATCTGGTGGTGCTGATGATACTGATTTTATTGTTCACAGGTAGTGCTGAGTTCCGGGTTGCGTTTCGACTTCATTATTACTGCTTTATGGTTGGTGAAATGCAGAGCCAGTGGTTTTTTCTAGCGGATCAGCTTGGATCCGCTAGAAGCCGTGGGAACGCATTTCCACCGCTTAAGTCAATGGTCCATGTCAGAAAGAAAATGTGTGGTATGGATCGTGGTTATATACGCATTTGAGCATTTGACTGCAGCGCTCTCTCGTCTATAAACGTTGAGCCAATGCATGCAAAGTTTAACGTGATTATATACGGATTTGACCGCAGTGCCCTCTCCTGCATAGACATTGAGCGGCTACATGCAACATTTCAACCATGACATCCCCAGCTCTTGAGTTACTACCACATCTCAGAGCCCCCTACTCGTCCCGCAGTCGTGACCGAGTGGTTAAGGCGATGGACTATAAATCCATTGGGGTCTCCCCGCACAGGTTTGAATCCTGTTGACTACGCAAACATTTTTTTCTTTTTTTAAGAAGACAGATGGGATGGCAATCGATGTGAGCACGGACGCCGGATGAACAAGGCTAGACATTAAGGAGCTATGCCCCTAAAAAAGCATGTCCCCCACAGAGCCGTATATGAGGAGAATTTGGCCAGTCTATGATCTTGCTGCTGTAACGCCCCCCTCCCAAGTGAGCCAATCAGCCTGCGACGCAGAGCAGGGGGCGTGAGCACATGCGCCTGAACTCCTGGCTGATCCCTGCTGAACGGGGAGAGCCGCCATTTTCATTCATTCGCCCGGCGGAATACATGGGATCGACATCCAAATTTCGGTTCTTTACTTTTATTTGGCAGGCACTGGAAAGAAAATGATATAGTGTTATTCCTCGGTGGCTTAAAAAGCTAATGAACGAAGTTTCTCCACATTTGAACGCAAACTTTGATTCAGGCGAAAAAGAAATAAGCCCGTAGCAGATAACGCGTAGCCTCAACAGTGCTCTGCGCAGACATCGTTACGTCAAAACGGCGGTTGTCTCCTCTTTGCTCCCTTCTTGCTCCTTCGGCGCTCTCCTCCCTTTCCTTCACTCTTCCCCTCTCTGGCACCTTCATCGCCACACCCACTGGCCGGACTCTCCCAATATATGGCTCTGGTCCCCCACAGAGAAGCGTGGGAAACCGGGCTTCGTGACAGGAAACTGCTAACCGATTATCGAACAGTCATCTGGCGACCCTGTTTGCAACCAAGGTAAGGAGAGATCTTTATCTGGCAGCTGCGACAAGGACAGTGTCCACACCTACCTATATCCTCTACTATGGGCCTGATCCACAGTGAACAATTTCTTCTGGCAAACTTCTGCCTCGACGCGCACACAATCCGTAAATGCAGCGTCGACTCAAACTGGCAAACACGTGCATTGCGTGTGTCGCGACCAAGTCAACCGCAGTACAGCCAAAGCTACAGGGTAGAGTGTGTATCCCGACCCGTTCAAAAGGAGGGAAAAGGAGGAACGGGAGAGTCCCAGCCCCCCACTCTCGTTCCTCCTTTATCTCCACTTTTTTTTTAATGACTTGGGACAATGCTTTTAAAGAGGTGGGTGCCAGCAGGGGAAGTGCTTCCCCGACTTGATTCCGACGAGACCTGGGCACCGGGCCACGGGCATCACGGGCACCACGGGCACAGTGTGAAGTATCGGAACTGTTACAAAACACGCTGCCGACGCTGTCGCATTCCTCTGCGCGCACAGAGCTCCCGAAGGGGCAATCTCCCCCCTTTTTTGCTCCCTTGATTCGACAGGTCGTAACCGCGTATATTGGCGCTGGGCAACGGGCAGGTGCGTCCGGGCTCGGTGGGCGCGGCATGAGCTCCGCGCTCCTTGTGCATTTATAGCGGCAAAAGACGATATACCTTTTGCAGGTACTGGCTTTTTGCACGCCTCTTCGAAAGGTTGTGCTGGCTTACATACTGCTCTTTCACTGGATCGTCCTTCATAATAAGCATGTCCGCCGTCGATACACTTCGAATGATCCGGTTCAAACTGCATGTGTTGCGACAGAGACCGCGTCTAACTTAGAAAAATGCAATTATTCGTAGAATAACGATTTAGTCATAACGAGGGATTACTGTACACTTCTTTTGTGCGTGCTCCCTTATCCCTGCACTCTGCTAATACGTGTTGTATCACATTGAACCAGTACTGAAGCTTGCTGCAGTCACAATGCATGCAGTACATGTTGTTTCTTACTCTAAGCCGTCCATCAATGCTTTCGGCACACAGGATCACTTCGTCTTTTGGGCTTCCTGATGTAAACTGAACACAAACTTGAGTTTAACTCTTTTGGAATGACCCTCAGCCTTTTTCAAGCCCTCTTTAAGAAGGCAACAAAAAAAACGTGCCCACCTGTTGACGTGTTATCCTTGATCGCAGCCTTGCAAGGCTCTATCCGAGCAGAGTGGATGGGAACGTAGCGGTCCTGGGACGAGCCGAATAAGAGGATGTGCTTGAAGAACTCCAGACCTGGGTGTGAAGGAAACCGGGGAAATCCTCTCTGTATCTGACGTGCCAGAACCAACTCAATCCCACTAACCCTAGGGCGACTGTCGTCACTCTCTGCCTGCCACGGCATCACTGACATTGGCTCAAAGCCCACATAATACCACTGGAAACTCGTTAATTCAAACTCTCTTAGTTCAAGCTCGTGGATAATTCAAACTAACATGCAGGTCCCATCCTATGAGTTTCTAGGAAGGAAACTCCCAGTAATTCAAACTTTGCATTATTCAAACAAAGTTTCGGTCCCCCTCCTGTTCAAATTAACGAGATTCCACTGTACTGTGAGCTTCCACCGTTGCCCGCTCGGCCTGTAGGGTATCTTAGAAAAGCCCATGCTACGTAACACCGTATAAACCGGACTATAGGTCGAAAATGCACTCGAGAAAGTCGACCCTCGTCTTATATACCGGTCAATAGCAGAAAAACAAAACAAGTCTGGCAACTGTGAGTGTCTGACGCCACCATTTTTTTTTTCTTGTGCTACTGTGCTACCTTGCTACTTTCGCTTGTTCATCGCATCGCGATCGTTGTCACTGCTTGCGAATATGAGTATAAGTAGACGGCAGTTTACAATAGCCTCCAAGAGAAAAGCGATCGCATAAGCAGAAACACAGAAAAATCTGGCGGCGCAACGGGAGTTTGGCGTATCAGAGAAGAGCGTACGGTACTGGCGGGGCCAGAAACAAAAACTGTCGGCCTGCAGTAATGCCAAAACAACCTCTTTCCGTGGACAAACTGTGCTGTTCCTTGACTTGGAGGAAGAGATAGGAGAGTTTGTTCGGCAGCTGCGTGCCAGATTGCTACCCCAAGACCATCCGAATCCGAATGCATCCGCATAAAAGTCGTTGAGGTTGCGCATGCTTCCAGAATTTCCAGGGAACAATTCAAGGGGACAGCATTGTGGGTGTGACACTTTATGAAGCGAAAGGGCTTTGCTCTTCGGCGGCATACTTCCATCTGCCAGAAACTGCCCAAAGAATACGAGCAGAAGCTCACTGACTCCCAGCAGTATGTTATTAAACTTCGCCAGAAGCGTCCCTACATGGTGGAAGAAGGTGGAAATGCCAACGAGACACTTGTGTGGTTCGACACATGCCATCCAACTGCACTGTTTCTGAGAAAGGAGTGAAGCAAGTGAAGCTTTTTACAACGAGGGACGAACACTCATGCTTTACGATAATACTCGCATGTACTGCTGACGGTAGAAAGTTGAAGCCCTTTCATCATTTTTAAAAGGAAAACCCGGCCGAAAAAGGACTTCCCGCGCGACGTCATAGTACGAGTGAACGAGAAAGCCTTTATGAATGAATCGTTGATGTTGGAGTGCATCCGACTTGTGTGGCATAGATGTCTTTTGGGAGACCAAGCATGCTGGTCTTCGATTCGTTTAGAGACCATCTGACTGCTCCTGTAAAGCAGGCCTAGTGCGATGGCAGGACAGACTTGGTGGTCATCCCCAGTGGCATGACATCTATGGTACAGCCACTGGACGTTGCACTCAATAAACCATTCGAGGATCGACTGGGGAACTTTAGAACGAGTGGATGATGGGCGATAACCCAAGGACTGCCCCTTCCCACAATCTGTGCTTGGGTGTCATCGGCGTGGAAGTTGCGCCCGGACGAAATGCTGGGCAAGTCATTCCGCAAGTGTAGAATTAGCAACTCGATTGACGGCACACGGCATGACGCGTTCTGGGACGTAGACAGCCACAAGCAGTCGTCATCAGACGAAAGTTCGGAAGAATCTGAGTAACGCTCACGTGCATTTCGTTGCGTGCAAATGCAGAGCAGTCAACAGAGCAGAGGAAATAAATGTGCCGTGACCTCTCGCCGGCTCTATTCCTCGTCATAGTTTTTTCTAGGTAAGATCCTGATTTTTTGCTTGAAAACTTTTTTTAGATTTTTACAATTTGTAAATTGGGGGATAAGGCTACCGTGTCTAAAGAAAAAAAAAAAGAAACACTTTAGGGCTGCATTTTACAGCGAGGCACCCCTTTCAAAAGCCCGGCCTCCAGCGTGCACTTGATGCCTTCTTGCGCGCTTTGGCTGCGCATGCACACGCGAAATGCACAAGGTACCCATTCGTTATCGAAGCTAGGAAGCTTGCACTGGAGGCGGGACAACTGAAGCTGCTCTCTGTCATTCTCATTCTGCCTGCTACTAGAGACTATGATTCGTCCGCACTAATGCTGTCATTCCCATCGTCATCACTGCTTCATTCTCAAAGCACGTCGTCGGCCTCGTCCAGCGAAATCTGGAACTTCGCAAATAACCGCACAAACTGCATCTTACACGTTTGCTCGGTGATCGCGTCGCACGTCACGGGTAGGGATCGATTGCGCATTTCTGCAAAGTACAATGCAAGCCTGACCGCCTGACCTCGAACTCCGGAAGGCATCCAGACCGATCCAGACTTTGGCCCGTGGAAGCCTTTTATAGCTTACAGTCGCAGCTAAGATCCTGCGCCGTTGTAGATGCCACCGAAGCACCACCTGCTCCGACAAGTCCAACTCGCGTCCAGCAGTTCTTGGTTGTATTTGGATAAGAATGGCCGAAACGTGCAGAGAAAACCTCAACTGCCCAGATCAGCGTGTCAATACAGAGAAACGTAGTTGGCACTCCAGCATGATTTTGACCCTCGATCAAACGATGCGCGACCGTGAATCATTCTGCAAAAAAAAAAAAAAAGCAGCAGCAGCGAGGCTGGGTGAGGCTGTTCCAGCGGCCATTCCGGAGTGGCTCTTGCAGCAAGTACCGCCACCCCGGGAGTCGGGTGCGCCGTGCACCATTCACCGCTGTACATTTGGGCTGATTTGCAAATTGCTACCAGAGGTACTTGCTCGCACAGATAAAAAAAAGAAAAAAAAAACTTCCAGCCTTTCTGTTGTGTATTGTGTGCATGTTCGCCACGCATGGCGAACACAACCTTTGACACAGGCAACGGCGGGCTGATATAACCGGAGACGCCGGCGGGGGAGAGCGAGCCGCGGAGAAGAAGGTGACGCCTGCGTGAAAGAACAGACTGGGCGCGGTCACAGACCGAAGAAGACGAGGGTCATAGTGCAGGATATATTTATTTAACTGTTGGATTACATTCGTTTGAGAAGAGTCTTCGTCAGTCTGCGACCGCGCCCAGTCTCTTCTTTCGCGCAGGCGTCACGTTCTTCTACACGACTCATTCCCCCCCGCCGGCATCTCCGGTTATATCAGCCCGCTGTTGCCAGAGTCGAGGGTCGTGTTTGCTATGCGCACAATACACGGCACTGTCCATTTTGGTGAAGAAGGAAGACCAGTGAAGCTGTACTATGGTAAGAATGAAGCAATGGCCGGCCACAAGTCGGCAAGCCAGAGTGAAAAGGCCCGAAAGGCTGCCGCCATCTATGAGCGACGGCCACAACCAGACAATCGGAAGCCGGTTGTCTGGTTGCCGCAGTCACTCATAAATGGCGGTAGCTGTCCAGAGTTTTGTGTCATCATTTGTTTGCTGACAGACATGATCCTGGGGAAACTAGCCCTTAACGGCTCTGCTGTAAAAGAATTTTGCAAAATGAGCTTACAGAAGGGCACAATGCTACAGGCATAGCCAGCTTAACTCATACAAGAGGTGTTCCTGACATCACAACTGTTTCATGTTTGTCGGCGGTGGAACGCTTTGGTTTAATTATTATAAGTTGACCCCCCACCCACTTCAGATTTTCATAAATTGAAAAATGGGTCGACCTACATTCGTGTAAATACGGTATATTCCAACTCGACATATGTTCCGGTTTTTACGGTAACCCATTTTGTATGTATCTTAAGCAGCTGAAAAGTTTTATTAAGATATGTGCAGTGTAAAATACAGGCAACAGTCCTGGTGATCGAACAAGTGCAATAATTCTACACTCTTGCATTCAGACGAGTTTGACTACACTGAGAAATGAACTTCTTCCAAACTTTTTTTTACCTAACACTATTATATTGCAAGATTGCTTGGATAAGACCTGCATTATATTTACAAAGGGCCACACTCATGGCTGCCGATTCAGTGGCATTATCAGCGATTCACCACGTCTCTGCCAAATTCGCCGACAACAGACTCTTCAAAAGTCCGTGCCAACGCCTGCCCGCCATTGCTTGATCACCTACTCTGAGCATGCATTGGACAAGGGGGCTGCGTCGGCGCTCGGCGTGAACTTGACTCGGATAGTATTGAAAACAAGCGCAGCATTGGCATTTGGCGAGGACTAGAATCTGATCATGCGCTTTGTGTACGACCAATGGCAGGCTCGTCGAAATTCCTCCACAGCTTTACATTTCTCAAGCTTCCCCTGTCGGTGAGAAAGGGCCTGCTTAAAGAAGAACAAACAACAAAGGTGATCGTACCTGGCTTCTGACTCAGCTTGTAGAGGAAAGACTGCCGCACGTCCGCTGTGTCTTTCATGGACAGCTGGAGGAGAGATCCCGACTTTTTCCACTTCTGCATGAACCACATTCCTGGAGAACGGGAACAAGAGAAAAGCCATGTTTCATAAAACAAACATCATATTATTTGGCACAGGACGGCAATCATAAGTTGTCCAGCACTTGAATCCGGATGCACGGTTGTAACCATCCCACTCGTGCTATTTAAAAAGCAACTCCAGTTCATTTTCAATATGAAACAAAACAAAACAATACAGTAATCTTTAGTACTGCCTAAAAAAAACCACACGCCATATATTTCGACCTACCTAATTCCGCCTAAAAATTGATGAAACTGGCAAACAAAGTTTGAGCTGCGCGAAATTAGCAATATCTGCTAATCCTGGTGGGCAAGGTGCAGCGTAACCAACAGCGCAGTAAATACCACCATGCCGGCGCAGTCCACCCTGCGTTACCTACATCACGCTCAGGAAGATTTGTTTGCTAGCTTAGCACTTTTTCAAGCAAAGCCTACAGGCAGCACGAGCCGCGCACTCATTGTTGGCCACGTGATTTGCGGAACGCACGCGCGTGTGTGTGCTCTTCTGTGATCATGTGTCCTCGCCAGCAGCATCTGTCATTTGCTAGAGCCAGTTTGCAACGTTGAGCACGGCACACTTCTACAAACCAGTCAGAACACGTTTATGCGGGGTTTACAAGACTTCACTTTCTACTAATGTTTTCAAGACAAGCCCTTAGGAAAACTTCTTTTTTTCTGTGCTAAGACACAAGCTGCGGCCACGGTAGTGCAAGCGTTGTCGGGCGTAGCAGACTGCCCATCGTAGCAGAAGACACTTTCGCCAGCCTGGTGACCTTGTATGTGACATCAAGATTTGTACCACATGGTTAGAGCACATGGGTGACAACACAAGAGCTAACGTTGCCCTCTGCAAGCAAGGTTTCGGTTTGTGATAAACTTTAAATGAAAATTGCGCAAAAATCATTACACTTTTTTAAAAAGAAATTACGTACCATTTAATACTGCCTTGGAATATATAATAAACCAATAACTAAACTTTCTAGGAATTGACTGGAGTTGCCCTTTAAACATGGCTACCAAGTTACATTGTTCCTACAAATCATTTATTGCAACATTGAAGTTGTCTATGGCATGCCATGGTCAACGCTTTTGTGGTGTTTCCTCTGTTAGGCCCAGCCATAAATTTTCGTAACCATATCATATTTATAGAAAATTAATGCTAAACACAGGGGCACCCGGTCCAAACCACGCGGCACGGGAACTGATATCACGGACCGCGGACACGGTAAATTTCTGTTTCACAACACTATAAACGCGCGGGAATTCGCTGCAAACTCCAGTGTCACGGGAAAGTATACCGGCACTGCGGATGCAGCAGATTCCTGTTTCACAGTGCGATGAACACATGGAAAATGGCTACAAACTTGCATACTGCGGGAACCGATATTGCGTGCGCAGATCACAGACAAAAACACGAGAACCTGCTGCAAACTTGCTTTTCACACGTACCGGTACCGCTGATTTCGCAACTGAAGTAATTCCCGTCAAACATCATGCGACGTCCAATGGGAATCGGGGCCTGGGCGATGTTTCAGTATTTTTATGTTAGATATTTGGCCAGCGAAACCGGATTGGCAATCTCTCGGGGGACGATGCCCTTACGGGATTTTACGCTAAGTTTAATCACATCTCAAGCCACCTGGTTACTTTGAAATACCACCAAACAAACCTTCAGTCAAACTCTGAAGATAGCAAGCGCATATAAATCGGGAGTAAGCACCTGCTCAAGCTATACCATACTTACCTAATTCTTATGTGCACCTTTTTTTGAGAAAAATATACTGCTGCCTGCATATTACTATCGGATACAAAAGCGAAACTGCGCTAGCAACAGCAGCTACAAAAGTACTAAAAGGGCCAGGGAACAGGGACTAGAAAGAAGACAGACAGTGCTGCAAACAGTTACTAATCATGCACCGTTTGTCTTCTTTCTACCCATTGTTCCCCATGTGCGTTCAGTATTCCTGAAACACACCACCTGGCCCTTTTTTAAATCTACAGCTACAACAGACCCATCGCCATCGTCAGCACAAAACGGCGGCTTAGCCTTTGAGCGTAGCAACCTCAAAACTCACAGGAGCTCCTCCTTTTGCCTTTTGCTTCGCTATCGGTCATCCCATACTTTGGATTTTGTGGATGTCTATAGTAAAGTTCATCACGATCGAAATGCAGGATCTCAAACACAGTACCGAGAAAGACATGCTGTCGCATGTGGAGAGTGACAAGGAACTGTACGAGACTGAAGATAAAAGAGAGTTGTTTATGAGTAAATAAACTTTGCTTCATCCTTGTGCATAAAACCTGTTATTATTTTATTTTTATCCAGTATAAAAACTCGGTGCGCATTAAAATGGGGGGCACAATAGATTTGGGCAAATACGATATGTCCGCTTACTTTATATACTGGAGGGCATGACACAGCTGGACCAAGCGTAGACACCAGTTTCTGCCAGTTTTCCCACATCACTAAAAGGCGGCTACTCACGTTTCGACTGCGGTGGAATATGTGCGCGTACAGATTCAGGCTAGGGAAGACAATCTGAGTCCAAAGTTAACAACTTGAAGAAGTTGTCATGTGACAGCATGACAATACATGTACATGTACAGGGTGTTCGTGGAAAAACTTTCAAACATCCCTAAAAATAAAAAGGATGTCTTAGAAAAAAAAAAATAAGAAAAAAAGATTTCTTGAGAACAGACTGCCTGTCACGGCAGATGTCAGGGATTGCATAATGGACATACTAATTAGCAAAATAACCTATAATTTCCTACTTACTTTTTAATTAGCGAAAATAAACATATGGTTCTGATTAGAAACGTGCCGAGCGTCATCGGAAGATCGGTCAATTTTAGGACGACTCGAAGCACGCTGGAAGTGAGAGTTGTGCGCTGAAGTTACCACTCAAACAACAGACACAAGGCTGGCAAAGTGAAAGGCAAATAATAAGAACATCCTCAGAGTTTTTGCGTCGTTAGCCTTGCGCCTGCTGCAAAAGTTGTAACTTCAGCGTACCCCCGTGCTTTGAGTCATTTTAAAACTCACTGATGTAGGGGTTTTCGATGAGGCTCAGCAAAATTATAATTGGAACCCTGTTTATTTTCACCTGTGAAAACATTATTTAGTCAATTATAGGTAATTATTTTGCTAGTTACGGTTGCCAACGAATTTTTCAAACTTTGCAGGAACCGAAAATACGTCCAAATAGTAGAGCAGTCCGAAAAATTTGCTGATGAAAGAAACATTCCTTTATTACGTCTAAGCGGGCTTAAAGGGGTTATGACACGAAAATTAAAGATAGATTATTCTTGCAATGGAATGCTCATACGCTACTTAGTATACACACCAAGTTACGTGATTTTTAGAGCTCTGGTAATTGCAATATTCAATTTACAAATTTTTATAATTTTCATCTTGCGACCATGCAACACTGCCCAAGTTAGTCACACCATGGTGTCCATAAACCACGTGACCATAAATGCTCTCTCCTTCTAGGCGCCCCCGTGATCGCCCAAGCTCTCCTCGCCACGGTACGATCAAAACCGCTCACGTAACTCGGTTACCCGAATGCTCTTCTTGCTCTCGCCCCCGGCCCGCTGACCTTCTACCCTGCATGCGCCTGCGAGATATTCCCGGACGACGGTGACCACGGCGAGTTCGTCCGTAACTCGCCGTCACTGTTACTGGTCGCCAGCGGGTCGCAGTCAAAATGAACAGCTTCCAACATCTCTTGATAGCAATCACTCTCATCGCTGCTGCGATCAATGTCGAACACTTTGACAAGGCGAGCGATGAGTAGACGTAATCGTCACGGACCGCATGCTCGAAACGTGGAAGGTAAACGAGGAAGCTGAGGCTCGAGACGCCAGGAGAGCCAAGTCTGTGAATACCGTGCTGGAGGCTGGCTACGTAGCCAGTAGTCGGCGGGGTGTAGCCGGGCTCCACCCGGATCTGCCCCTCCGAAGGACCCGCATTTAAATCGATTTATCCACAAAACTATCGCGCCATTTTCAAGACAAATTTAGCAGGATTATAGGAACATACAATGGGACCTAACAGTATAGTTATATCATATTTTATTTTTGGCGTGTCATAACCCCTTTACATGAGCCGTTGATAGCGCCTGGGTTCAGGTTACGTCTCCGCTTGCATTTGGCCACTCTCTATTAGCATGAGACTCGCTGCTTTCTTTTCTAACATTATGGTTGAGTACTTTCCACGCTTCTTAGTGACACTTCGCAGCGGCAGAAGAACAGACGGGGCCATGACGTCCAAGTCCAAGCCAGCGTACTCCGAAAACATAATTCACCAAGAATAGATGAGGAAGATGAGAGGCGCAAGTCCACGATTGCAGAATGGTGAATGAACAAAGCAAAATGGTAACAATGATGATAATAATAACGTGCAGCTAGAGCAAAAAAAAAAAATGTTTGTAGCATAGCGTCCCCTAGGGCAGGGGTTCTCAAACTGAGTTCAGGGGAACACAGGGGTTCCACGAGCTGGTCTCATGGGTTCCACGAACACCCAAATTGCAACACCCCCCCCCCCCCCCCCCCGCCCCCCACGCCGCAGGCTGCACGGCAGGACCATGCAAAGCGCCTTCATCTCATTCTGTACTGACATTGCGATTGATATGGTGTAAATACTATATGGGAAGCAACACAAGCAAAATTGCCTACAATTGTGCATCTGTTGCTTCTCGGTCGCCATGTGGAGGGTGGATTGGGGGGGGAGGGTTCCGCGGCAGTCTTTGAGGCTTCCTGGGGTTCCGCGAGACCAAAAAGTTCGAGAACCCCTGCCCTAGGGCATTACCTAGCGGTAGGACTTAGCAGTACTCAAGTAGCGCAGCCAAACCAAGCCAATCCATGTGCAGCCAACATAGAACCTAAAATGGCGGCTTCTCAGTGGTGTTTCCTGCTGATCGCTCGCAACAATTTTGTCTGAAAAATCAAACTTGCAGACTCTCAGCTGTTTGAAACACCGGTCATGAATATGCACCACATCTTTTGGGTAGGGCACGCTTCCTTCTGTAAGTCCGAAATATCAAACAAGTTTGAATTATCGGTGTCCGAAAAACTGGTAGGCGACTGTGATGTGTCCTTTGCAATATCCTGATGTTCGCCGTGGCTGGCAACCCAATCCCGAAAAGAGTTTTTTTTTTTTCAACCACCCAGTTTTAGGAATTTTCGCGAGTCTTTACAGAAACACTGGGAGCACTAATAAAATGTGCCTTGAAGTCTACTTGAGTGCTAGTGCTGTTACTTTGACAATTGCATATGTGCTCACCCATGTTGACTAGACCGCTGTTGTTGAAGAGCGTGCCCAGGTGTGGACCTGAGAGGGACAGGAAGGTGCAGAGGCAGCCCAGGTACGGCTTCATCTCAGGCCGCGTGAGCGCCGAACGGATTATGATGTTCCCCAAGGAGTGCCCGATGAAACTGCAAGAGACGTCCCGGCCAATTAAACCCTTCTGCACATCTCGAGAAACATCAAATGTATGCAAGGCTAGCATTGGCATCACGTCGGCAGCCATTGTGGTGGCTTTGTCATACCTTCTGCCGTATGTCAGCATTGTGCAATGACATCATGTGCAAGCCATACACCTATTCACTTGTGCACGTCTGCACAATGTATACCTAATTTTGCATGTCTCTAAGTGCCCAGATAATTTCCACAAACATTCTCAAGCTAATTAGGAAGAAAAACACATATAAAGCTATCAATAATGTTGCTGTTGTTGATGCTTGAAAACACTGGTAATAAGAATAATGTTCTTATTGAGTTTGAAACGATAATAATGTTTAAAGCTCGCCAAAAATACTAAAATTCTGAGCTAAAAAGAAAAAAAAAAATTTATGCTTGGAGGTTTTAGTGGTGCCTGTATGATTACAGATCAAACTAGCGACACACTAAAATGCTACGGTAGCAAGTTGTCAGCATATGAAACAATGAAAGTAAAAGGCTACAGTTGCATGTTTTGAGCATACAAGTCAATGAAAGTGTGTTTTTCAGGATACCATCATTTATTTAATTATCCCTCAACTCTCACAACGACGTAGGAAGCAAAATGTTCGCTCAAGTGCTTTTCCAAGCAGTTCCTCGTAGCGCGTCTGTCACTAAGTGGACACAGTTATGGAAGTCAGAAACCACCTAGGCAAACCAAATCATCACCTTGGAAAAAGAAAACTCAATATTTGGAAACTGCCAAGATCAAGCAATACCGGAGCTTCAGCTTTTTTATACTGTTTTTTGCTGTGGTCCAGCTGCGACTCTCACCTAATCTTGGCTGGCTTGAGAGCGAACACCTCAATGTGGTAGCTGATTTCGGAGACTAGTCGATCGGTCATGGTTTCAAAGTCTTCGAAAGTTTCTCCCTGGAGAAAACCAAAAATAAAAAAAACTCTTAAAGAAGCGCACTTCGTTAAAATGACCAAATCCCATAAAAAAAAAAAAGACATCCCAATAAATGTCCTCACTTGATTACGTTCCGACATCAAGAACTCGAAGTTCACCATGGGAAGTCCAAGTTCGAGGTACGTACGAACCAACCTCAAATCTGCACTGTTGCCTGAAAACACAAAAAAAGAGTCATAAGTGCCCACATCTAAATGAAATGGTGCACAGATTGCTGAACCACAAGAATTTGCTGCAGTCTCCCACTGCACTACATAAGAGCCAATGTCTTGAGAGCTCACAAGTGAGGATATACAGGGTGTTTCACAAAAGGTGGACAAATACGATATTGCGAAAACTATGCATCGCACCAAAAAAAAGGCTTGTGTACTTTTGGTCCTAGGCCAGGGGCCTATTTAGGAAAATATTAATGTTTGGGATAATTAGGTCCTTTATTTTCACGTAATTATTTTTATAAATATTGAGTGGGCATGGCTTAAATTAGAATCCTGCAGAGCATCATTGAAAAACACTAATTCAACAAATTACAAACTGATGGAATGCACGTGTGGAATTTTACGGCTTTCTTAAAACTGCACAATTTCGAGAAGTTTTTAAGTATTGGTTTGCAATCGGAGCGCTTCTTGGCACCGACGGCACCGCAACCCGTGGAGGAAAAGTGCAACCAAGCTCTGCTGCACTGTCCTCGCTCAACTCAGCAGAGACTTGTTGTACTGGTGGTTGCCCCTCCGAACCAGGCAGTCATTCTTTTTTTTTATAAAGTTGTGGACCACCTGGGGATTCCAAGCGTTTGGCCCAGGTTGCCCCTCCGACAATCATGAGTGGTCATCTTCACCGCGAGGAGGCCAAGGGAAACTGGCCACACCAGCGGCGCTCCGCTGCTGGTAAAGGGCAGTTGCAGCGTATGCGCAGAGGCTGTCGGAATTGCGGCGCAGGCGATAGCGGTCATTAAATGTTTACGTGTTATTGAACCGGTGTGCTGTGTCATTGCCCGAGACGGGAAATCCCACGAAGTGTAGCGGCATGTATGAGCAAGCAATGAAAACAATGTTTTATCCTGCAATGTTACTTCTTAATAATAATGCAATTTGTTTTTTTAGACGACTTTTGTTTCGGTATACTTTTTCATTGTTACCGAAAGGCAAATTTATGTCGTTCAACCTCGCACTTCATGGCAAACACCGAGATCTGAAAATGACCAATTAACTTGGTATTTGGCAACAGTGAAAACAAGGAAGTTACCGTATTTACACGATTGTTAGTTGACTCAATTGCAAGTCAACCCACCCACATTGCACGTCAACAATAGAAAGTAAAAAAAAAATATACTTTAGGGGCTCATTATACAGTGAACATATGAGAACGGCGTGGTGTCTCTTTCAAAAGCATTGCCTCCGGCTCGCGCTCCACGCCCTCTGGCGTGCTTTGGCTGCGCATGCACGTGCAAGGTGCATGAGATGTTTAAACGTTATTGAAGTTAAAAAGCTCGCGCTAAAGCGAAACAACTGAAGCTGCTTTCTGGCGTTCTCACTGAATCTACAACTAGAGACTATGATTCATCCGCACTGAGGCTGTCGTTCCTCTCGACATCGCTGCTACGTTCTCAAAGCTTGCCGTTGGCATCGTCCAATGGAATCTCGCATTTCGCAAATGACCGCATGAACCACATCTTCTGCGCTTGCTCGGTGATTGTGTCACATGCAACAGGTAGGGACCGATCACGCTCTTCTGCGACGCACGTGCAAGCCTGACTTCTAACTCCGGAAAGCATCCAAACCTATCCAGGCCCACGGAAGCTGCTTAGCTTGCCGTCACAGTTAGGGTCCTGCATAGTTGCAGAAGTCACTGCAGCACACCCGCTGCAACGGATCGAACTTTGCCATTGTTGGTTGCTTTCGGACGAAGAATGGCCATTAAGCGAGCACCGAAAACCGAAACGCCCATACAGAGAAAAGTAGTTCGCACTTCAGCATGATCTCGACCCTCTATCAAACGACGTGCGATTTTGAATTGTGCGAAAAGAAGCAGTGGGGTGTGAGGAGCTTCTAGCGGCCATACAGGGGTGGTTCTTACATCAAGTGCCGCCAACTCCGGGAGCTGGGTGCGCCGTGCACCCATTCGTCGCCATACATTTGGGTTGATTAGCGAATTGCTATCAGTGGTACTCGCTCGCGCAGATAAAAAAATAAAAAACAAAAAATCTTGTAAAAAGAGGGCAGAGGAATGCGCTATGCTACAGTTACAGCCGGCTGAACTTGTAACAAGCCGAGGAGTCCTTGATATCGCTATTGTTTTGTTTATGTCGGTGGTGGAATGTTTTGGTTCGATTTTTAGCCCAACCCACTCCAGATTTTCAAAACTTTTAAAATGGGTTGACCTACATTTGTGTAAATACGGTACAGTTACAAGTAAACAAAGGCAGAGTAAGGCCGCTCAAAGGCAGAGTAAGGCCGCTCAAAAAAGTGACCTCAGCGTGCGAGGTCAAGGTGCTGTCGCATAGTACCACATCTCGAAAAGTACGATATGAGAAAAATGCCATAGGTTGAACGCACGCAGACATCAATCAACTTTTTGACCATAATGTAGTCCATCTCTTATAAATAAATGCTCTTTGCAGAGCACACCACAGTGTTACCGAGACCAAAATTTGAGTTGGACATGAGGGGAAAAAAAACGAAAAGAAAACGGCACGCTAAGGGTGAACTTTCCTAGTTTCATAAAAAGAATGAGTCTGTCTGCATTCCATTTCGCCACTTTGAAAATCGACCGTGCAAGCTGGTAGCTCAAGAAATGCCCACTGCCGTGCGACGAGACCACGAAAGAAAAGATTCGGGTTTGCAAGCTGACAAAGAAATTACGTTCTTTTGTCCCGGCAGGCAATAGCCCGACGCTTGTACGACATCGTCGGATGGAAACCATGGAACCAGGAATGAGGAAGCGGTAAACACGCCAGGTGGAAATGCATTCTGGGCACTATGCCAAGGGAAAGAGTTTGACGAGGCCTCCACTCACCGTCCAGCCCATGCACGCATATCACAAGATGCAGTCCCTCGGGACTGAATGCCCTCAGGTCGTTATCACACTGGAAGTAGGGAACTGTCGACGCCAACACTGGAAAGTCGCTGCAAGGCAAGGATTCTTGATAAGACGACCTACCAGCACAATGCCTCATGCTTAAGGGGGGACATGGCCTCGGAATTCAAAATTTTCAGAAAAAACGTTTTTTTCAAAAATAATATGTTTATAATTATTAACTTCCAAAGAATGGTTTCAGAAACTTTCATTTATAAACATGCAGGATTTATCTCAGAATAAATTATTTTCGACATGTCGGCAGCCCTCCAAGTCAGCAGGAAGCAAGTTTTTTGTTTTTTATTTAGCACTGCTTCATACTCGTTTAACCTAGCCAGAACATCTCACCCTCATTGGAAGTGCCATTTACTCTAGATATAGGAGGTAGAAGCTTTCGAAGTTTACAAGTATCAATGGCCAGGAGGACCCAATACATCCAAAAAGAAAAAATTCTGAAAATTTGGTATGAGCAATTTTATTGGTTGACACCTGAAACAGGGTTTACGATTGGTCCATCCCGGTGACGTGATATTTTGTTGTCTTCATTAACGCCCCTTTACAGTATCTTCCACTTCAGATCCTATTCCTGCTTTGCTGCTCTTTCTCAGTGTGATTTGCCTTTTAGCTCCTGCCAGCTTATCTGTCAGGGAATGCCTGCTACAAAAGTTAGTGAGCCTACAAACAACACAAACTGGTAGCTATTGCCAGGGGAACAGGGAAGTCTCAAAGAGGAAGGTTCTAACAATGTGCCAAGTGAATTTTGCCTAACTGGGACCCCCAGAAAAGAAAGAAACCTAAAGTTGGAACTTCAAATGCATTTTTCTCAGTTTCACTTTTTGGCAGGAAATGTGGTATGAGGAAATGTATCATTGGACATTTTGAAAGTGTAAAGATTTCATTCAGTGTTGTCCTTGACTCAAATTTCTTGAGGAACAAGTTAAAATACTCATAATCCGAAAAAGCTAAATTCTTCATGACAAAAACTGAATATTTTAAAACTCACAAATTTGTTAAAATCGTTCGCTCTTTATGGGTGTTATTGTATTTCTCTAGAATCACATTTTCTACAGTTAATTTTCACCTTAACTTGCACTATAGGTATTCTACTTCACATTAAACCAAACATTTTGTGGATTGCAATTATTATTTTTCTTAAATACATTTCCTAATAAAGTAACTTTTTTCTGGAGCTTGTTAATCATAGTATGCTGTAGTGTTGGCCGATAAGACTGAAACTGTAGCTGTCATCAATCCTAATGGGGTTCAATTCACGCTGAAAGTTTGAATCAATTTGAGACATTGGTTCAAAAGTTGACTCTCCCAGGCCATATCCCCCCTTAAGGCCGACCGATGCGGAATGGGGTTTGTGTCGACCCGTTTGTACAGTATACTTTAGTTAAATCGACCCCGACGGGACCTTGAAATTGGGTCGAATTATCCAAATGATTGAATTAAAAAAAGGACAGAAAAACGGTTAAAATAAAACTTCCTTTTATTGTGCAAAGTGCTCACGGATGGTCTGCTGCCGTCTGCGCTTAAAACGCGAGTCCAAAAGCATGCTCCGAAGAACAGCGTAACTTAACGTCACGTCCTCAAAAAATTGCATTAAAAAAAGAAAAAAAGAAACAAGTTTTACGAGCCGACTTTGGCGCCAAGCAGCCAGACCGTCAGCAACAAAAAAAAGAAAAAAAGTAAAAGAATTTGCGCTTTTTGATGCGCAAGATGGACCACACACGATGCTAAAGAAAAGCGTTTCGAGAGTCATGCTGTCTCCACGCCCGACCACGTGCTATGTTCTCCGCGCTACTCCACGCCAGATTGGTTGCGCTGGCTCGTGTCATTCGCTACAGTCCATCTCAACGGCATAGACAAGCAGGCGCATGTTTGCGCACGTTCGGCCTTGCAGCAAAGGGCCCGTGTTTCGACGTACGTTAGCGGTTTTTCTGCCGTGGTGCCGTGCCATGTGAGCCTGCGCGCATTTGCTTGGGACAAATTATCCCATGTGGAGTCGTCCCGAGTTCAAACTATCTAACTTTTCCTCCCATAGAAATGTATGGGCGCTCGCCGGGACTTCTGAACAGGATTGAATTAAACGAAAAGTCTAATTAACCGAGGTCAAACTAACGAAAGTTTACTGTATCTGTTGCATCCATTTTGCCCGTTAGTTTTTTGGGGAAATCTTATTAAGGAAAGAGATGAATGCACCGTGCATTCCGCACCGCTTGACTTTGCATGAAGTATCGAGGCACCGTAAGTTGTAATTTCTTTTCTCCTTCCTACGCTTACGGAAAGCTTTGAGAGGTTCGCAACCCACCTCTGTCCTAAATGCCGTGCTTTGCACCCACCCGAGTATGTGTAAAGCGGCTGTAATGAAGCGTTTTAAAAGCTTCTCCAGTAGCATAAAGCGCCGGACTGCTGGCCAAGAGTCTGTTGGTTTGATTCTTGCCGGAGACAAAGTGATTTTGGCAAAGAAACCTGGTCGTGTTATTATGCATTTGGTCACAACCTTTTGCAATGCTCTACACTTAGAAATCAGCCCTAAAATACATTCTGAATTAATACATAAAAACAAAATTAACATTCAAAGAGCAACCAAAATGCTAATTGGGCAACCACTGCTGATAGTAGTTACCATTTACTCTTATCGTAAAATACCGGGCAAGCGCCCACTCAAACTTTGGAGATAATTGCAAAAAATGGGGGAGGGGCGCTTGTCCGATCATCAATTTTACATGTACATTTAGTGTGCGTATTTTCTCAGATCTTACAAATTTGGAAATGGGCACGTAATGTGGAATGGGCAGATGCACGGTATTCTACGGTAAGCAGGAAATGCTGCAAGGACTATGAGTACGAGCTTCTTGCCTTGAACTGTGCATATCACACTCAAATGCCGAAAGAACCAAAGCGACTCCCTAACGTGCCCCCCCCCCCCCCCCCCCCCCGTTTCAGTACTGTCAGTTTGTAAGCACATCGGAAAGAAAATTTTTTCTGGATGTAGGCTGAACCCCTTGTGGTCCCTAGCCTTGGCATCCCTCGGTGCCATCAGAGAATTATATCCCTCCAAAAAAATTATATCCTTCCAAAAAAAGAACTTGGATTTTAAAAATAGGGAGTGAATTAAAAAAGTCAATTGGAGACCCGTACATGGAGATATCTCAAAAGACTGAAATGCCACATCCAAAGGACTAATATCCTTGAAAAAAACAAAGTTTGATCGGGAAAGGAAAGAAAAAACTCAGTACTGACCTGTACCAAAGCCAAGGCATATTGAGACGTGACCGGAATTCCTCCTTTGCCTTTACAAAACTGGAGAACAAAGAAAGAACTTCTACATGTCAGCATGATTCAAGGCTTGCACCAACATGCACGAACGAAACCTATGCTATGTACTGGCTGTGTCAATCTTTTTCCTGTTTTGCTACTACTTCAGAGGTTTATTACCTGTGTTCAACTTGCGGTGAGCACTACAGGTGCATTATTTGACACCCAGATAAACCTTTTCCTCGATTGTTTTGTTACTGGGCAGTGCTGTCGAACTAGTAGCAAAACAGAAAATAGCGGAAGAAAATAAATGTGAGCCTTACAAATAAATTTTCTGCAAACACAAACGCGGCATGGATTCATGTTCGGTGCTTCACAAATGTCATGCGCTTATTCTCACAATAAGTTACCGAAGCAAAATAATTGTTCCATGGACCCTTTATAACCACTTTTGTAGCCCTCCATTAACCGCATCTACACAAACTAATGATAGAACCCATTAGGCCAGACATAAAACAATACTTAACAAAATTCACCCAAATGACCAGCAAGCATGCCAACATGTCCACACAGAGCAACAAAATTGGCATTCAGCATTGTGTGCAATGCTACAGACATTGCCCGTAGTTGCAAACTTCTATCTCCTTCCTCATTAACAACGACAAACAATCACCTGAATAAAAGCTTGCAACATCCATCAAAAACATAAAATGCTTTCAGCCTTTCCTCTCTAGCGAAGAACGAAGACCAGCAAAGCTGTACTATGGTGGGAATGAGGTAATGGCCGGCCGCAAGTCGGCAAAGCCAGAGTGAAAAGGCTCGAAAGGTTGCCGCCATCTATGAGCATAGCGGCAACCAGACAACCGGCAAGGCAGCAGTCTGGTTGCCAACGTCAATCATAGATGGTGGTAGCTGTACAGAGTTCTGTGTCATCAGGTCATTTGAGGACGGACACGATCCTGGGGAAACTAGCCCTTAACAGCTTCGCTGTAAAAATATCAACCAGCAATAGAAAGTTTCAAGATCAAGCTAAAGCGAGCAACGTACAAAGACAATAAGAAACAGCCAACCTCACAATATCCGCGTTGACCGCAGATGCCCTTCGCACGCTGACGCTGCCCTCCTCACACTCCCCCTCCCCGTCCCTGCTGCCGAGGTTGGGCCGAGGTTGGCCAGTCTCCTTGCTGTCGTACTCGTCCCTAAAATCCGTCAGCATCTCCAGAATGGTGCACTTGGTCTCCAGGTACGCCCTCCGGTCCTCGTACCTCCTCCGCACTTCTCCGGCCGCCGGATCCAGACAGACTTCCCGTTCCACTCCGTTCTGGATCATGTTCGGATCTTCGGGAGGCTCCTCCTCACTCTCTTCCTTTGACTCGAGCCGAGCTTCCGACTCCTGAACTGTCGTCTCACTCGCAAACTGCGCGGGTGGCTTCGGGAAAAACATGGTCCCTTCGCAGGCCATCGTCGGTGCGTTCGGCGGTCCGCCGCCGCCGTTCTCAACGGCCACTTTGGGTTTCGCCGGCGGAGAACGAGATGCGTCACCGCCGTAGGATCTCGACGCTTCTTTCGACTTCCTCTCGTGTGCTCCGTCGTCGTTCCTCGCGTTCCCGTTCCGCCTTTCACCCTCCGTCGGTTCATCTCGGAACTCTGGTGGCGGAAGCGGCGGAACCGTGCCCCCTCCTGCCTCGCTCGGCGAGGGCAGCGGCTTCTCGGAGACGTCGCCGGGCAGAGCAAGCCGGACCACGTCGGACGACGCGTCGGCGCTCTCGTAACCCGATGTCGACTTGCTGGACCCACCCGTCGGACAGAAGAACACCTCGTCCAACGAGTCTCGCCTCGAATCCTGCGCTGCAGTTGTGCGGCACACCTCCAACGCGACTTGGCACGACGAAGTCGACCTCCTGTGTTTTGCGCCTCCGCACGTGCTTCCGCGCCCCCTTCCACTTCCGGTTCCTAGTCGGGGCCCCAAAAGCAATGCTCCGACGCACGAACACGACTCAGAGACTGCCTTACGCGTCACCGCCGCAGAGGCTCCCACAGCCGGCGGATCTGTCACGGAGAGGTTGTCGAAAACGAAGTTTACTCCGTCAACTCCGTCGCTCGCAAACCGGGCTCGCGCGGGAGGTGGCGGCGGCACCGGCGGAACGCTGCCGCGCTGCGTCAGGTCTGGCATGGACTCGCTGTTGAGCAGCGATGGGGGTAGGCTGCCGGCACGCACCGGAGGCGGCGGTGCCGCGTTCGTGACCGCCACCGTGCTCTGCGAGTGGCGCATTCGGACGCTCGCGGCGATGCCGGCGTCGAGCGCGCGGTGGTGGTTCCGAAGGGCATCGAGCCGCTTGAAGGCGAGGAGGGTCACCGAGGAGTGGTTGAGGTGTGGGCGCTTCAGCTGACGCAAAAGGCTCGCCGTGCGTGCTTTTAATTTGACCTTGGCACGCGTCGAGGAGGTCTTGCCGAGGCGGAGGAAGGCCTCGCGGTCTTGGGTGTCGGCGGAGGAGGTCGAAGACGTCGACGTGGGCGAGCCCAGCTCGGCGTCGACGGAGAGGGTGGGAGACGCGCGGCCGCGCACTGAGGCACACTTTTGGGCGAACAGCTTGGAAGCCGAGGAAGTCGACAGGGTCTTCTCCGAGGTCCTGGCACCACTGCCGGCGCAGCCGTGCGCGACGCCCGAGGGACGCCGGTCTTCCAGCCTGAGGGAGATGTCGCTCAGGTTGAGGCAGGACTCTGCGAAATGCGAAATAAAAGACAGAAGACAGATATTTTGTTTCAATGCAAAATCTATTATGCATGTCTTGCACTTCTAACAATTTTCAGTGTAGCACTCCTGAAACAGACGAAAAAAAACTTGTTGCTTCAGCGTTCGTCTGAAAGTCGTGTCCTCTCTCTTGCCGATTCAACATTAGTACCAGCCAGACGCTGATGCAACACTGGTGCCCAATTTGCACCTTGCACCAACTTCCAATCCTAAACAAAATCCAGCACTACGGACTTGTTGAAGCCCATCTGCACAGCAGCGTTCTGTTAGGGTGGCCGTTCCAAATTTTACTCGAGTAGATCAGAGTTACTCCCACAAGTCACATTGTGCAATAACACAGAAAGAGCTACACTGAACGCAAGTGTAGGTTTTCAAATGCAGGGATACAAAGCTTTGTTTTAATGCATTAGCATTAGAATGCTCGTTTTGACGAAAACCTGGCAATGTCTTTCATTTGTCAGTGCCGGGGAGAGAGAGAGAGAAGGATGGGGAGAGGGTGACCCATTGGTCAGAAGCACTGACATCAGCATGTGCTAACCTCTCCCTCTCTCCCTGGTGGTGACAAACTGATGGACACCACCAAGTTTTTGTCAAAACGAACCCTTTTGTTTTCGTCAGTCACGTGCACAGCTGGCACGGAGCCAGAGAGGAGGAGGTGTTGCACAACACCTAGGTAACAAAGCCGTAGTGCTGAATGAGATGGTGTATTCTGAGAAGGCCAACGCTGAACACAGACTGGATACAAGTGCTGCATCAGCGCTCAGCTTCGAGTCAAGTTTGAGCTGAACGTCGACGCAATGGTCGTGTCCAACCTGTGCCCAGCATTGGCCCTCTCTGATGACGCCATCTCACTCAGCACTACGGCTTTGTTACCTAAGAGGTGTTGAGCCGTGACACGGTAAAATATGGGCATGCTCAGTTGCTGCTTTGCTGTCGCCGGTTGTTCTTCACTCTGGGTTTCCGTAGTAGCGGTGCGTGGGCTGTGATGTGCGTCTAGTTAAAACGATGGATGCGGTTCCCTACACGAGTGATATGATGCAGTTCCTTCCACGACGGTATAGATGTGGTTCTTTCCACGAGTGATATGGGTGACCGTATCCAAAGATGTCGGCATCCGTAAAGTTCCAAAAGAATGCCCTCCAAAATTGAAGAGATAAATGGTGAAAAACATAAGATGGGCTATCATTGGATATGCCATAGCAAAACTTAATAAAAAATTAAAGATAAATACCCTGGCGCTGGCTACAAAACCATGTGACGTGGGAACTGATACCACAGATCGCGGACACTGCGAGTTCGCGTTTCACGATGCAATAAACACGCAGGAATTCGCGACAAGCTCCTGTGTGACGGGAAACGATACCGCAGGTTGAGGATGCAGCAGATTCGCATTTCAAGGTGCGAAGGACCTGCGGAAACCATCCGAGAACTTGGATCTCACGGGAACGAATGCCACAAATCGCAGACGCAGCAGGTTAAGTTTTATAGTGCAATAAACACGCTGGAACCCGCTATAAACTTGCCCGTCATGGGAACCGATATCGCACGCGCTGATCGCGGACAAAAATGCGAGACTCCGCTAGAAACTCGTATGTTATGGGAAAAAATACCACAGATTGCGAACGCAGCAGAATCGTATTTGACTATGCAATACATACACGCGGGACCAACTTAGGTGGAATCGAGATCACATGCGCAGATTGCGAACCAAAACGTAAGAATCCAATACAACCTTTATGTGACGGGAACGGATACTGCAGATTGCAAATGCAGCAGATTCGCATTTCACGGTGCAACATACACGCGGGAACAACTCGCGTGTTACGGAAGCCGATATCGCGCGCAAAGATCACAAACAAAAATGCGGGAGCCCGCTACGAACTCGCTTATCAGACATGCCGGTACAGCAAACTGCGCAGTTGATGCAAATCCCACCAGACGTCGCGTGACGTCCGACGGGAACCGGGGGGTGGTCATTGTTTGGGAATTTTAGGGGCGAAGCTCCTCAGGGTCTAGCCTTGTCCGTCCGGCGTCCATGCTCACATCGATTTTGCTGGTGCTCGTGCTCGTGAGCTCACGTGCTCGTGTAGGGAAAAAAAAAAAAAAAATAAAAAATAATGAAAAAAAAAAATTGTTTGCGCAGTCGACAGGATTCGAACCTGTCCAGGGAGACCCCAATGGATTTCTAGTCCATCGCCTTAACCACTCGGCCACGACTGCGGGACGAGTAGGGGGCTCTGAGATGTGGTAGTAACTCAAGAGCTGGGGATGTCATGAATGAAACGTTGCATGTAGCCGCTCAACGTCTATACAGGAGAGGGCGCTGCGGTCAAATGCGTATATATGATCACATTAAACTTTGCATGCATTGGCTCAATGTTTATAGATAAGAGGGCGCTGTGGTCAAATGCTCAAATGCATATATAACCCCGTTCCATACAACACATCCTTTTTCCGACATGGATGAAAATGAACGAAAGACTCGACATGCTGCGGTTCAGCGCCTACGCAGACAAGCAGCACCAGAGCTTCGCCCAATCAACATCATTTACCATGTGGAGATGCGGTCAATTTTATTGTACTACGACTACTACTACTAATAATAATAATAATAATCTTTATTAGCACAAAGAGCCAATTGTGTCCTGGGGGGCGTACAAGGCGAAGCAGACAGGCGAAAACCCGTACGCGAGAGCGTCTGCTGGCCGACCCCCCAGGAAACAAACAATAAAAACAGAAAACAAGCAATCAGAGAAACAACAATCAAGCAGCCGGAAAAACAAACAATCACAAATTCTAAAAAAATTCCCAAGCAATCTTAATGCCCGACCTGCAGAACACTCTCCAGGGACACTGACCATAAAGCAGTAATAATGAAGTCGAAATGCAACCCAGAACTCAGCACTACCTGTGAGCAAACAAAAAAAATCAACACCATCAGCACTACCTATGCAATCAGTATCATCAGCACCACCGGAGCTTCGCCCCAATCAACATCATTTGCTACGTGGAGATGCTGTGATTTTTTTTTATTTTGCCCAACTGTTTCGCTATTTCACCTGAAAGCAGGGTGTCGAACCAAAACTCTTTCTTTTTCGGTTCAGGTTACGGTTCACATATTTTGGTTCGGTTCAGGTCCAGCTTTGGAGTGGAAGAAATAACGGTTCGAACCGGTTCCTGTTTATGTAACGGTTCAAGAAAAAGTGAAAAATTTTACCAAATATTCGCATACCTCTACGGCCATGAAGTGGATTACTACGGCATAAAATAAACCCTCATTTATTGATTTTTTGTACTCCATCTGTCTATTGGGAAAAATTTAAAGACGTGACATGCGACTGAGTACCAACCTTTCATTCACCAAACACAAAACTAAATACAGTAATCCCTCGTTATAATGAAGTCAACGGGACGGGGAAAAAATTCGCAAAAAGCGGTAATTCGATAAAAACTTGGGAGCCATAAAAAGATTAAAAGTAACCTTGAAAGTACACAGGAACTGTGTGGAAGGCTTTTACAAATATACAGTATAGACCACTTACAACGTAACCGCTTATAGTGCAGGACCGGGTGTAACGCGGCTTTTTTAAACCACCGGTTCGTCTCCCATAGAACTCCATGTATTTACATACCGCTTAAAATGCAGGCGCGCGAAGGGAAATACCGTTTATAGTGCGGTTTCTGAAAGAGCCCGGCGGCCGTGCCGACTCACCGGCGCAGCGAGCACGCTTCCCTTTACGGCGCTAGATAACGGCGCGAGCCGCGAGCGGCACTCGCGGGGCAAGGAGGTTGCTCGAAGAAACCGGGAGATGCGAAGAGAGAGGCTGCAGTTGCCATAGCGACGGAGGGACGCATGCACGTGTCGTTCTCGCGCGCGCGTCCCTCCGCTGCGATGGTTGGAAACAACTCCAACGACAGACCCACAGGACAGACCAAACGCAGGTCGAGGAGAAGGGTTCGCGCGCGTTGCATGCCGATCGCGGGCCGGCCCGGCTGCGTCTATCCACAAACATGGCGTTGGTTTTGATCTTCGACGTAGATTGCGTGATGGAGGCTCATCGTTTCGCGTAAAAGCGCTACCCTTGACTGTGAATTTTCGTTGTGTGTCGTTATGATAACCCAGCACGTACTAGAAGGGAAGATCCACCTACTCGTGCGGCGATGTCGTGGCGGCACTCTCAAGACGGCAGAAACGCTCGTGTCGTCGTGTTTGTTTACTTCGACTACAGTGGTGCTTTCTGTGTTTTCGAACATCGCCCGGATTTCTGATTTGGAGCATTTCATGCCTGTGCTCAAGTTGAAGGTATTACTGGCGCGTATCGTATAAATGATGCGAATTTTCACGCGTTTTCATCGCCGGAGAAAAGTGATTAGGGTTAGCAATCCTGAACGCTCGCAACGTCCGTCCGCAACCCGCGACGTTGTTAAAAGGCTGCGCCAGGCAAAAGTCGCTGATTTCTTTCAAAATATGTGACACACTTGAGACAGAACTGTTCTAGTCTGGTGAAATAAAGACTTTCCTCAAACTAAGCTTTACTTTTCACCTAACATAAAGTAAATTCTTTTACAAAGGTAAGTAGTCTCATGGCATGTATTTTGGCCTGAAAAATTGATGTTTTGGTTATAACGCGGTACCGCTTATAGTGCGGATTTTTGCGACTCCCGCGACATACGTTATATGGGGTCTACACTGTATATTCAATGAAACAAACCTTGCTTATTATCCAGTCTTGCTGAAACATGAAAAAAGACGGGCGAGCAATTTGCCGGGCGTTTTTGCCAGGCATTAAAAAAACCTCTTCCAACTGCCTCAAGTACCACATGAGGCTGTCATCGCCGCTGCCGCACTCCACCTTGTTGCGTTGTTGCGAAGAAGACGAAGTATGTTTCACATTTCTCCAATCATGGGTACCTCTCGGAGTTCCTCATCCAACGGCTCTTCCATCTTTGCCCTGGCCACACACAAGGC